TTTTCCTTCCTCCCGCCTCCCTCTCTCGCCACCTGCCTCCTTTCTGTGAGGCAGCCGGCACCACACGAGAACATCTGGGGCTGGCCTTGGCCCTGAAAGTGCCCTTCTTCATCGTGGTCAGTAAAGTGGACCTGTGTGCTAAGACCACAGTGGAGAGGACAGTACGCCAGCTGGAGCGGGTCCTCAAGCAGCCTGGCTGCCACAAGGTCCCCATGCTGGTCACCTCTGAGGATGATGCTGTCACTGCTGCCCAGCAGTTTGCCCAGTCACCCAAGTGAGCCTGCCTCTCACCCTAAAGTCTTGAAGGACAGGGAAGGCTGCCACAGGGTCCAGGAGCATGGTGTCCCACCTCCAGGGCCAGATTCATTGTAGTTCAGGTCTTTGGCTTTTTCAGCTTGGGATTGTGGGAGGGAGCTAACCTGGAGCTTTGTTGACGCCTGGGACCTTGAAGACATTAACTGTCCACATTCCCTGGCTTGTTCACAGTCAGAAAGGGACTCCGCTCACCTTTTTATGGGTGGGCCTCTGGCTACTGATTCTTGTTAAGACTATTCTCATCGATGCGTTTGTCCCCACAGTGTCACCCCTATATTCACGTTGTCCAGTGTGTCTGGAGAGAGTCTAGACCTTCTCAAAGTCTTCCTGAATATCCTGCCGCCACTCACCAACAGCAAAGAGCAGGAAGAGCTCATGCAGCAGTTGACAGAGTTCCAGGTAGTTGCTCCAACAAACAGAAGTGGGGGGCCCAGTTCTGACAGAGCCTGAACGTTACAAAGGTTGAGCTACAAGCCCTGGCAGGAGGACATTGACAGGGTTTTCTTTGGCTCTAGGTGGACGAAATCTACACAGTCCCAGAGGTGGGGACGGTGGTTGGAGGAACACTATCCAGGTGACTGCCTTATTGCTGCTCAGCCCTCACCTGTGTACCCTGTACTTGAAGCCCTCGTGCCTGAAGGAGGCCCTGGGTAGAGCTCACGCACGGGGCATACTTGCTTGCAGACTAGCTTTCACTCACAGGAAGCTTAGCACCCTTGGCTTAGGGACAAATGGCATTGCTGCTTTAGGGACCTCTCCAGGCCCCAAGAGCCTATGGTCATGGGCTCTGGGAAGAAACGGTGCATTCATTCACTTACATCTCAAAGCAGGCAATGGAGGAAGAGCCTCTTAATGAGGCAGAGCTGAACCTAAGGGTGTTCCTGCTGGGCCTTCACAATCCGAATGCTAAACCAGACAAGGCAGTCCTCTCCTTCCAAGCTGCAAGTTAGGGTTCTTCTGCCCCAATTCAAGGGCAAGGGGATTCTGAGTGACTCTAGGAGAGAAGTCAGAGGGACCTACGCTGACGGTGCTACCTGCTGTCCTGGCTGCAGTGGGATCTGCCGTGAGGGGGACCGGCTGGTGGTAGGCCCGACAGATGACGGCTGCTTCCTGGAGCTGAGCGTGCACAGCATCCAGCGCAACCGCTCTGCCTGCCGCGTGCTGCGAGCCGGCCAGGCTGCCACACTAGCCCTCGGAGACTTTGACCGCGCACTGCTTCGCAAGGTGAGGTGGACAAGCGGGTTGGAGAGGGAATGCAAGTGTCTGGAAGACTGGCTGCTGAATGAGAAGTATCTGGAGAAACCCAGGGAAGCATGGTCTCTCACTCGGGAGTGTAGACCTGGTTGTATAGACTATTGGAAGGGCTTAGGATCTTAAAACACAGATCCCTAAATATAAATGACCATGGTACCATGGTCTTCTGAGGCCTTTCTTTGGAGGTTTATAGAAGAAAAGGGAGATTGCGGAGTTCTAAAGTGTCTAATGCCAGGTCTGCCCTTCTTGGGTCTGGGGCTATGCCTCTCCAGGGCATGGTGATGGTGAGCCCCGAGATGAATCCCACCATCTGCTCAGTGTTTGAGGCAGAAATAGTCCTACTGTTCCATGCCACCACGTTCCGGCGGGGATTCCAGGTGACAGTACATGTGGGCAACGTGCGTCAAACGGCAGTGGTGGAAAAGATCCATGCAAAGGTGAGGGTCCAGCCATGCTTCCTCTCTGCAGGGAAGTCTGCACGCCGCCTCCGTACAGGGGGAGCCCTAACATCATACTTGGCTGAGAGTGGCCTGATCCCATCAAGGGAGCAAAGCCCATGGGGGGGGGGTAGCAGCCCACCTGGGGGCTCACGGGTGGAGCCAAGGCTGACAGAGAAGGGGATGAGAGGCACTGGCCAGGGCTGTGACCACTTTTCTCCTGAAGGACAAGCTGCGGACAGGGGAGAAGGCAGTGGTACGTTTCCATTTCCTGAAACACCCAGAGTACCTGAAGGTGGGCGCCAAACTGCTGTTCCGAGAGGGTGTTACCAAGGGCATCGGCCATGTCACAGACGTGCAAGCCATCACAGCGGGAGAAGCCCAGGCCAGCATGGGCTTCTGAGTCCTCAAAACAGCTCTACTGCTGTCCCTACAATACATAAGGTGACTTCCGGCCATGCTGCCCACCGTTGGCGGCTCTGTGTGTTCCTAGGCTAGGCAGAGTGGCTGCTGCCACCTGCTTCCTGCCACCTTTCTGGAGAGGCGTCAAGCTTGGTGTGACCAGGGAGGGGCAGTCCTGAGGGAGAAGACAATTGAGGGCTGTTCTCAGCAGCCGTGTGCCCCCTGGTTGGCTCATTAACCCTGGCTGCATGGTCTTGTCTACCGGAGGGAGCAGTGCATAGCCATCTTGGGCCACTATCAGGACCGGGCATGACTCACCAGTGTGATCTCTGCACTTCAGGAATTATCATAACTGGGTGGCCCTGGAAAGCACTTCTTTTTTTAATACCTCCTCTCAAGGCCACATAAGTTGCCCTTCTCTACCTGACCGTGGATAAAAGACAGTGCTCCTGGTCATCCGGTGGACCCAGGGACTGAAGAAATGACACAGAGACCGTGAAAGACTGTGTCCCTACCCTGTGTCGAGTCCTGATGCATTTTCTTGGCTTTATTTCATTGTCCTTCACTCAAAAGAAGGCGGTTTCCCCGATCCTCCTGTTATGGCCCCACTTGGTGCTATTTGTGGTGCTGGCCCAGGCGTGGGGCTGCCAAGCTAAGACTTGGCACACCAAAGGCCAGCTGCATGTCAATCAGTTTCTTTTCCACTGCAAGTCATTGTTGATTTTCATGCTAGATCCGATAGGATATTTCCTTTCCCAACCTGGTAGCTGCAGGACCTGACCCACAGCTGTGTGTCCTGACACCCTCATCCCCATTCTTGCTCCCACATAAAATTTTTCTTGTTTTAGCAATTTGTAGTGATCACCCCTTCCCTCTGTTGCCGGGAACCAGGAGGAAAGGGAAAGACGTCATTCTAGGCATGGACTCTCTCCTTTTCCTTTGTTAGCATCCTGGGTTCCCATGAACTCAGGGATTTGTTGAAGATTCTCTGCACATGTGTGTATATATATATGTATATATATTTAAATACACATCTATATTGTACAGAATAAAAATGTTTTATTGGACTCTGTGCTTCTGCTTAAGACATAGGTTCATCCTCCAAAGTTAGGTTCTCTGGGTTACAGACAAGTGACACCCTACCATTGTTGAACTCTGAATTGGAAAAGAAGTCGTCCCTTATCTCAGTGGCCATTCTTCTCCTCTCCCCCATGGGATCAGCATTTTGTGTGTTCTGACTTTTGTTTCATTCTTCAAGTGAGCAGAGTAAAGTGGAAAGGCCTTTTCAGCTCACACAGCTAGCTCCATTGTCCTTCAGTAGTCTACCTGTCAGGGTTACAGAGGGAGGGGCCCAGTCCTTAGGCCCAGCTCTGTAGGGATGAAGACTTACAGGAATGGCAATGCTGTCCTCACACTTCACTTAGAGCCTAGATTCCTGGAGCACTGAAGGCCACGTAAGCTAAACCTCAGGCCTTCCTATTTCTGTGTTCACACCATCAGAGATTTTAGAATCCATGCTGACCAGATAACCACCATTGTGCTCTATTCCCAGTCTTTCTGACTACACCATATTTAGTAGGATCTAAGGCTAAAGTCTACCGCTGAAGTAGGAACTCGGTTTTGAATACTAATCCTGGCAAAGCAGATGATATATGTGGTCCAAAGCCTTATGCAGCACTCTGCCTCCAGAGTTTTCTTTTTTGAGATAAATCTCTATACCAGGCTGACCTCAAACTATGTAACTGAGGATGACCCTGAACTTTTGATCCTTTTTCTTCTCAAATGGCTGGGGTTAAACAGGCATGGTAAAAAAAAAATACCATTGGTAGCTGGGCATGGTGGCACACACCTTTAATCCCAGCACTCAGGAGGCAGAAGCAGACAGATCTCTGAGTGTGAGGACAGCCAGGGCTACACAGAGAAATCCCATCTGCAAAAACAAAAACTAAAAAGTAACATACTACTAAGAAGCCTGTGGGTAAAACTTGTCCCTGTGTTAGAAGCTGTGAGCATCTTGCAGCACAATGGTACTTTCCCAGCACTGAGAGAAGAAAGTGTGCCTGTCTGCTCTCCTACAGACCATGTGCAGTAGGGCAGGGCTGCCCAGGAAAACAAGGGATACTGCTGGCTTTACCTTTTAGTGGTCTACTAGCCACCCTCCACCTGACCTCCAACATATCTCTAGAAATTAGACGACACCTAAGTGTCTGCTACAGTGTTGCTCTCTGAGACAAGGTCTCATTGAATTACCCAAGCCGGCCCATGCCTCCGCCTTCAGAACTGTAGGATTAAACTCCAGACTGACTTCTCTTCCCTTACCCTCTAAAGCGTTGGGATTACAAGCATGTACAAAACACCTGGCCACACATTACTTTTCTCTACCACTCCTTGCCAGCCATCCCAACTTTCACAACCAAAAGAAGTGAGTTGCGTAGGCATGTTGGTGTACACCTATGATCCCAGACACGGAACTGAAGCCCGAGAGTCACAGTTGTGAGGACAGGCTAGCTTAGCCTACCCACCTCAGTGTCAAAATCACCAGGAGGCCACTTTGTTACATTAACATTTAGGGAATAAAAGTATGCAAGGCAGTTCCTCAAAGAATACATTTTTATTTATTGTCCTAGTTTGGGTAACCAGATGTAAGTTTTTTTTTTTTTAACTACACACAGTGAACCAATACGAAGAACATAGGATGTGCAAGGCACTGCAAGAACTCAGCCTTTCAGAAGCTACTATACTAACCCAGCTAGGGAAAAGCCACAGCAGCTTCAAAGGAAAAGGTCATTTCCTGTCTGTGAACTTCGAAGTAAAATACAAAGGTCCAATTTATAAATAAGATGAAATTGATTTGTATTTATATACTGGAAGAGAGATGTGTATGCTTCTCCCTACTCATTTAACCACGACCTGGATTCATATATAACTCAAGGCCACCTGGGTGACTAAGAAGACTATGTCTCATTAAAGCTTTTTTTTTTTTTTTTTTTTTGGTTTTTATGAGACAGGGTTTCTCTGTATTGTTTTGGAGGCTATCGGTCCAGCCTGGCCTCGAACTCACAGAGATCCGCCTGCTTCTGCCTTCCGAGTGCTGGGATTAAAGGCGTGTGCCACCACCGCCCGGCACTCATTAAAGAATTATTTCTTAAATCCATTATTTAGCCTTTTGGATTTGCCCATGTTTGTATGCTGTTTTTTTTTTTTCCTCCAGTACTGGGAATTGAACACAGGGATAGCACGTGCTATCTTAGTCCAGTGTTCTACCAACTACATCCCTGACCCCATTTTTCCCCCCCTTTCTGTTCCAATTTTGTTAGGACTTTGGTTTTTCTTTTTTTGGGGGGGAGGCTGTATCGAGTTACATTCCTAAAATATCACATATGGTCTTCAATTTTATAGAGAAGAAAGTGAGATATGGAGTTTGCTAAGGTTCCTTTCACCTTTGTGTCTCCCTGAAGAGTAAAAACATTTTGATCAGCAACAGGATTAGAATCCCATTGAAGAGAGAAATTTAACCTAATTTTGTGTTAAAAATTTCATAGATTCCCTTGAGAAATCAACATGATTCCATCTCTCAAGTTACAAATAAAATAGTAAAGCTCTCCTGCAAGCCTAGGGCAGCATTAATGTGTCAATGGCTTAAAAAATGATTCCAGCGTCTGCATGCCGTGGAGCCTAAGACGTTTGTTACTGGAAGCCAAAGGACTCTTGGGGTTTCTTTTGCCTCGAGGAGACATGGCAGGAACAGCTTGGGGCTTTGGAGTACAAGGCTGCAAAAAAGACTTGTGCAATTCCAATGCAAAATGGAAGTCTGTGTGCTCTGGCATGTCCCACACTGGGACCAGGGAGTCACACTTCTCACAGAGCACTTGGTCCTCAGTTGCCCTTTGGGCCACCTCCTCAGAGTTGTAAACTGAAGACTCAAGCATGTTTGGACTGTTCCCAGCCACGCCCATTTCTGTAGAAACTTCTTCTGAGGCTACTGGCTTCAACACTCTTTCATAAAGCGGGCCACCAACTGCACACTCAGTTGAAAAATAGCTTGATATCACTTCAGAGTCCTTCTGTGGAAGGCAAGGAGCTGAAGAATTACTAGGCTGTGTCTGCTGTGACAGCAGCCTCTTCTGCTTAAAGAAGGGCTCAATCCCTGTAGTCCGGCTGGTTCGGAATGGTAGCGAGGGCTTGAGGGGTGACTTGTCTGTGGACGTTTTGAGAGGTACAAGGGAAGTCTCTTTCAGCCTCTGCTTTTCAGCAGCCTTTTGAAAAAAAGACTCCAAAGAGGTGGCTGCCTTCTTAGAGGTGGGCAAAACTGGACCAGTTCCCTGGGTTTTAGTTTCAGAGCTAGCAGCTGGCACCTTTGGCTGACAACTTGAGTCATTGCTCAAGAAGACAGTGATGTCTGTACAAGATGAAGGGGCAGAGGCAGAGAATTTGGTAGCACAAAGGAAAAGCATTGTGAGGGGCGGGGACCTGTGTACAAAGTAATGGAACAAGGAAGTTACCAAGTCATTGTTTAAGAGCCCAGATCTAATTAATAAATGGCAAGTTCTAGTTCTATCAGGAAAGAAAATTATTTTTTTTCCTTTTTTTTGAGACAAGGTTTCTCTATGTAACCACTCTGGCTGTCATGGAACTTGATCTGTGGACCAGACTGGCCTTGAACTCATAGATCTGCCTGGCTCTGCCTCTTAAGTGCTGGGATTAAAGGTGTGCACAACCACTCCCAGCTTGGGGCTACACAAATTCTGTTCACGGCAACAACATGAGAAGTGTAAGCAAATCAGAGCCCAGAGTCATCCCCAGCTGTGTAAAAAAGCTCACCAGCCGGTTGGCTAGTGAGTAAAGGCATTTGCTACCAAGCTCGATGGCCTGAGATTGGATTGTGGGACTAATGCAGAGATTTCACAGGCAGTGCCATGAATTATGCCACACATATACACAAAAAAGTGGGAAAATTTCCAATCCTAATTCATAACTCTAGAATTTTTCAAGATGAAATTCCCTGCCAAGCTTTTGGTTTCCAATCTCAGTCTCAGTCTGATCTACAGAGTGAGTTCTAGGAAAGCTACAGCGGTTATACAGAGAGACCCTGTCTTGAAAAAACCAAAACCAAAACCAAAAAAGGGGAAATAGTTAAAGAAATTTGCTGTAAAGTACCTCATGTTTTCATAAAACTCTTTATTATGAAGAATCTGAAGAGCACTTGCCTAGCATGGTCAAGGACCTAGGCTTAATTCTCAGTATCCAAACTATTGTCAGGCAGGGGTGGCCCAAGCTTTTAATTCCAGCACTTGGGAGGCAGAGGGCAGTATACCTCAAGTCCCAGAAAAGTTAGGACTATACAGAGAAAAGTTCTTCATTATGTCTAGTTGCCTAAATATATTTTCATATGAACTGAGTTACAAGAACATAAAACCTGCTTTTATATACAGATTAGCTCTTCAGTCAGCTAAAGAGCAAATGCCACTCCCCCACCCCCATCCCCCGGGTTTCTCTGTGTAACAGGCCTGGCTGTCCTAGAACTCACTCAACTCACTCTGTACACCAGGCTGGCCTTGAACTCAGAGATCTGCCTGCCTCTGCCTCCTGAGTGCTGGGATTAAAGGTGTGCGCCACTATTGCCTAGCTCGAACTTGCTCATTTTTATCACCTTCCATAGACCTTGATCACTCCTAAGAGGTGTTGCTAGTCTGAGTCACAAAGAAACTTCTCCACCGATTCTACAGCTTAAAAAAAAAAAAGAAACTGAAAAGAACAGGAGCCTCACCACTCGGTTTGGATTCCGGAAGTATTACAATTCCTGATGGCAGCAAATGCATCCTGGCTCATCTTATGAGCATCATATCGAGTGAGGACACAGCAACGGCGTAGGCTGCTAAGACGTTTGTCTCCTTGTACACGAATACTGACGGCCAACTGAGTGGCCACCCTGTCATTCTGTGGACGGGAAAGGATTGAGACCAGAAATAGTTACTCAGAACGTCTGTAGGGTAACAGAATGACTGGGAAATTCAATTGAAAAGCCAACGAAAGGGTGGAGCATAGAGAGTTGCACTTTATCCTAGCACTGGGGAGGCAGAGGCAGATGGATCTGAGAGTTGAAAGTCACCCTGATCTACGTAGCAAGTTCCAGGTAAGTCAGTACTATGCGGTAAGATGCAAGAGAAAACTAAAGTTCAGAACCTCATGATCTTATGTTTTTAACGTGTTGTGTGTGCTGTGTAGGAGTGTATGTGCACATGCATGTACTCATGTGGCTGCCAGAGAACACGGTCTTCCTCCAGTGCTCTCCGCTTAACCCCTGACGGCAGGGTCTCTCAATGAACTCCAGCTTGCCTCTTCCTCTCTAGGCTGGCAGCCTCCAAGGCTCAGTGATCCTTCTGTCTCGGCCACTCAGCACTAGGATTATAAGGGCAAAACCTAACATTTCTCTAAGGAAGATGTACAAATGGCCAACACACCACATGAAAATAGCTAGGCAGTAGTGGTGCATGCCTTTAATCCTAGGACTCCAGAGGTAGAGGTAGCAGCAGATCTGTGAGTCAAAGCCAGCCCGGGCCACAGAGTTGAGTTCCAGGACAGTCAGGACTATACAGAGAAACCCTGTCTCAGAAACAAAAACCAGTCAACCAACCAAACAGACAAAAAAACAAACAAACAAACAAAAAAAAACATGAAAACATGTTTATCTATTAGATTTAGTACCATACAAACTAAAAAACTAGAACAATACAGAGAAGACTAGTATAGGCCTGAACACTGAGATATTTGTGCTTCATAAAAAAACTATCAAACACAAATTACAATGGGTCAGCTCAAGAGATGTCTCAGTGGTTAAAGAGGGACAATAAATCTTGCCTAGGACCAGAGTTCAGTTCCCAGCACCCACATCAAGTGGCTCACAGCTGCCTGTAACTCCAGTTCCAAGGGATGCAATCTTTCTGTCTCTGTCTCTTTCTCTCATTGTTAGAAGGGATTCAGAATAAGCCACTAAAGAAAGCAGTTACCAAATTTCTCAAAATGCTTAACATAGCTACCATGTGACACATGAATGTGTCTCATAGAATGAAAATGTGCAATGTTAATAACAGCATTATTTGGGCTGGAGAGATGGCTCAGAGGTTAAGAGCACTGACTGTTCTTCCAGAGGTCCTGAGTTCAATTCCCAGCAACCACATGGTGGCTCACAACCATCTACAAACCAATCTGGTGCCCTCTTCTGGCATGTAGTCAGAACATTGACTATGTAATGAATAAATAAATCTTAAAAAAAAAAAAACAGCATTACTGATAATGGCCCAAAGTAGAAATAGCCCAAATAACCATTCACTGATAACTCTTTACCAGTTCTAAAAAGAAGTAATCACTGATACATGCTATAATATGGGCGAACTAAATGAAAGACTGCTCAAGACTGCTGAAACCAACATATACTGCATGATTTCAGTTATATGAAATGTCCAGAACTTTCTCTTTTTCTTTTTCTTTAAGGAATGGTCACAATCCTTTTGTTTAGCCTTTCATCCTAGTATGGGATGAAAGGTGTGCGTACACTACTGTGCTGGGTTCAAAAATCATACTAAAGAAAATCATACTCTGCCCTAAAGATGAGTAGGGAAGAAATGGGGAGTATCTGCTAATGAGTACAGCATTTCTTTGGGGAGTAAATAAAAATATTAAGCTGACTGAAAAGCTGGGTGTGGTAGCACTCAGGACACAGAGGCAGACAGATCTCTAAGTTCAAGGCCAGCCTAGTCTATATAATGTCACATTAAGGTCAACCAGATATATACAGGAAGAATCTGTCTCAAAACAAAAACAAAACAACCAAACAAATAAAATTAAAACCAATTGGAGCTATATAACTCTGGAAGATGCCAAAACCACTGAACTGGACACTTTAGCTGGACATACCTTATTATATAAAGTATATATAATTGGGGCAGGGAGGAGACCATACCCATGCTAGTAGTTGGGAAGTAAAGACAGAAGGAAGGGTTCAAGATGCCTATCACTTGGGAGGTAGAGGCAGGTAGATCCCTCTGAGTTCCAGCCCAGCCAAGGCTACACAGTGAGACCCCATCTCAAAACAAAACAAAGATACTTAGAGAAAGAGTCAGATGTCTTTTTTGGTATTTGTGGGAACTAGGGGCCAGACACAGAACTTGAAGCATAAGTGAGCACTCTAAGCTGCACCCTCAGCACCAGGACGTTCTCTATTATGAGCATGTGTTAAAAGAAGATAAGAATTCTCAGCCAAGCTTGGTAACCCATGCCTATAATCCTAGAAGTTGGGACCCTGAAGGCAGGAGGACTAGAAAGTTGAAGGTTGAGCTAGAATCACTGCTTTGTTTTGTTTTTGTTTTTGTTTTGAGACAGAGTTCTCTGTGCAGCCCTGGCTGCCCTGGAAGTCACTCTGTAGACCAGGCTGGCCTTGAACTCAGAGATCCACCTGCCTCTGCCTCCCTAGTGCTGGGATTAAAAGCATGCACTACCATGTCTGGCCAAACAAACTTTCTTAAAATTCCCTAGACTGATGCTATTTTCTCTGTGTTTCTTCTCCACAGAGTAAGTAGCATAGGGCATTTAAATTCCAAAGACTAATAGAAAAAAAAAATCTTACATCATTTTGGTCTTTGGTTAGTCTCTCCTCAAGTTCCAGGGCTAACTGCAAGAGCCACCATTGTACCTAAAAAACAAACAAATAACAAAAATATGAAATTAATCTTTCATATAAGTAGACATATAGAACATCTGTTGGATCCTTTTAACTAGATCATGAAGATCTCAGCACTCTGTCTTCCTCTAGTTGAAGATTTTCAGTCAGGCACAGTGATATATACCTATAATCCCAGACTTGAGAGGCTGAGGCAGAAGGATCATGAGTTCAAGGCTGGGTTACATAGCAAAAACCCATCTCAACAACAAGAATAGAAAATGCTTTTAAATTACTGGGAAAAGAAAATGACCCAAAAGATAAGAACACTTGCTATGTAAGAAGGAAGATAAGAATACGAATTCCCGCCGGGCGTTGGTGGCGTACGCCTTTAATCCCAGCACTTGGGAGGCAGAGGCAGGTGGATCTCTGTGAGTTCGAGACCAAGCCTGGTCTACCGAGCAAGTTCCAGGATAGGCTCCAAAACAATACAGAGAAACCCTGTCTCAAAAAAAAAAAAAAAAAAAAAAAAAAAACCAAAAAACAAAAAACTGAATTCCCAGGCTGGAGAGATGGCTCAGAGGTTAAGAGTACTGGCTGCTCTTCCAGAGGTCCTGAGTTCAATTCTCAGCAACCAAATGGGGGTTTACAACCATCTGTAATGAGATCTGGTGCCCTCTTCTGACCTGCAGACAGAACACTGTATACATAATAAAAATTAAAGTAAATAAATAATAAAAGAATATGAATTCCCAGCACCCACAATACAAAGTTAGGCATAGCTGCATATGGACCTACTATAACCCAGGACAGAGACAAGAGGGTCACTGGGATTTGCTGGCTGTCAGCACAGTTTCGGGTTCAACAAGAGAAGAAGGCAGGGTGAGGGAGAAGGACATGATAGCTCCCCCTGGTGTCTACATATGCATGTAAAGGTGCACACCCGCACACATGTGAAACACACAATTTGTTTAGTCAGGATACTAAGGCCAGGTTGGCCTCCGACTCTCAGGGTAACTGACCCAGCCTCCTGTGTGCTGGGATTACAGGTGTGCTCTACTGTGCTGAGGCCCAAGCCTTCCACCCCACTTCTCCTCCTGGTGCCACTGGGTAAATTCTACCATGGTCTAATTCTAATACTCAAACTGAGTGAGGCACAATATTTTAGGTTTTTGAAGTTCCTAACTATAAAAAAGGCAAGAAACTCCATTGTCCAATCCAGCCAGTTCTGTTTTATACCTTTTAAATTGAAGGGAGGAAAAATAAAAGACAAACTTGGATCTCAGCATAAACAAAGGCAAGTCCTACTCCTTTTGGGTAACCACCTAACCCAGTAGACTTTGCAGAGCTACCAAACCCACTATCTCCTTTAAGAGAGGCTGTGTTCTGTCGAGAAGGCCCGCTTACCTGCTCACGAGTAGCCAAAGCCGTTTTCCCTGGGAAGTTCTTACTACAGCCAATAGTTTTAGGTAACTGCCTGGGTTTAACTGGATCATGTTCAATCCCTCGGCACATGGCATACAGCCATGATCTGTAAAACCAGCAAAAGATATTAAGATGAAAGCATGATTATTCTCCTAGTTTTTTGTTTGCTTCCTAGCAAGGATCTCACTAGGCAACTGGCCTCGAATTATGATCCTGCTGGGGTTATAGGTAACAGTCACCATGCCTGGTTTCTTATCTATTTATAAACAGCATTTAAGTATGCAGTCCAGGCTAGACTCCAGCTCATGGTCCTCCTGCCACAGTATCCTTGTTAAGACAAAATACCTGCATTAGCCTTTTATCCTCTTCACGAGAAATACCTGAGGCTGGGGAATATAGCTCAATGGTAGAGCACGTCTCGCATGTACAAGGCCCTAGGTTCAATCCCCAGCACTGTGGGGTGGAGGCAAAAGGACCAAGGAGTTCAAGCCTTGTGCTTCTTGAGACCCTGTCTTAAATAAAGCAGAAAGAAAGGAAGAAAGATCTACAATTAAGCATACTTAAGTTCTGACAGCTCTTGCCCTTCTTAAATAGTTCTAATTTAAGACAATGGCAAGAGGGCAACTAATTCTACTTTCTAAAGCTAGGTCACTATTTCTTTTTTGCAAGGTATCAACAAGCAAGCCACCAATTCATCTTTTTGTGCTCACCAGGGCTGAAACACAAGGATTTGAAGGTAACATCAGCAAAACAGCAAACATAAATGATATAATAAGACTATCTTAGTTGTGTAGATATCAAATTCATGGGACTTGGGTATCTGAGGCAAAAGAATTACATGTTCAAAGTCTGCCTGGAAAACTTAGTAAGACTCGAATAAAAAGTAAAGGGAAAAAAAGCTGGCAATCCCCAGATATGTGACAAAACTACTTTAGAGGGATAGGCCATAGTAACCTAATCACTTAACTTAAAAAATTTTTTTCAGTGCTGGGGACAGAACCAAAAGCCTTGTAGCATGTTAGGAAAGTGCTCCACAAATGAATGATCTCCTAAGCCTTTCTTTTTTAACCTCAAACTTGTGCTTCTGTTACCCAGGGAACACAGACCATAGGCCGAGTGTGCTGGTATGTCTGTCATCTAAGAATTAGGAGGGAAACACACAAGAGAATCAGCACTTCACGGCTACCTCTGGTTACACACCAAGTTTGAATCTGGCCTTGGCTGTCTACTAAAAGCTTTGACCTGAATTGAATTTAATATCTCTATAAAGGTTATGTTTGAAAAATAATATAAACAAGGGCCAGAGAGATGAAGAGTACTGTCTGCTCTTCTGGAGGACCCAGGTTCAATTCCCAGCACCCACAAGGCAGCTCACAGGGGTCCCAACACCCTTAACATAGACACCATAAAATATAACTAAATAACTAAATAAATAAATAAATAAATGGATGAATGGAAGGAAGGAAGGAAGGAAGGAAGGAAGGAAGGAAGGAAGGAAGGAAGGAAGGAAAGTAACATAAACCAAGTGTGGTGGCCCTCGCCTTTAATCCCAGGTGATCGCTGAGTTCCAGGACAGCCACAGCTACACAGAGAAACCCTGTCTTGAAAAAACAAAACAATAAAAAGAAAGAAAGAAAAGTATTTTAAGCCACTTACCCGTTCTTCTCTCCGAAGTGACTCTGCAGCTGAGACTCAGTGAACTGGGTCAGTTCACCCATGTACTCTACCCCAAGGGTTTCAATGACAGAAGCCCCGAGTTTCCCACCAAGACTGCGGCTAAACAAAGGAGAGAAGGAATTTATAGGAAGGAATCACATTTAAATATACAGTTAACCAAAACAAAGACATTCTGCTGCTCCTAGCAGCTCTCACAAAGACTCAGAGAAAATCGGAATGTTCTAGTCTGGCAGACTCTTAACTCCAGCACAAAGATGGGGACTAGGGAGCTCAGAAGTAAAGGTGCTGCCGGTGGTTAAGAGTCTGACCCTGGAACCTCTGAAAGAAAGGAACCAACATAACGAGGGCACCTGTACCCTCCCACACATACACGCATGGAAAAACAAAGAACTAGATGGCTTGTCCGAGCTCCCAGCTGGTAACCTAGCTTCATAGCAGAGTGCTCGCCTAGCATGTGCAAGGCTGGGCTCAATTGCCAGTACTGCAAAAATAAACACGTTAAGAGTACAGTTCCTATCAACCACCCAGGCATGTGGCAAAACTACTTTAGAGGGAGAGGCCACAGTGACCTAATTAACTAACTTTTAGAATTGTTTTCAGTGCTAGGCTTCCAGCTGGGAAGATTAACGGAGCATAAATATTCATCACTGATTTCTTATCAAGTCAACTGTATGTAAAAACTTCATTTTTCATGTTCTTATATATTATATTTTCAGCTGGTAAAACCTACTGTCCCACTTGGAGATTAAAAGTCTATACCCAGTCAGTGTAGTGGTGCATACTTTTAATGCCAGCACTTGGAAGGCAGACTCAGGTGGATCTCTATAAGTTTGAAGCCAGCCTGGTGAGTTCCAGGACAGCCAGAGTTACATGAGACCGTGTCTTGGAAAACTTAAACCATACAAACAAGCTAGGCATAGGTAGTAAGTGCACGCCTTTAATCCCAGCACTGGGGATACAGAGGCAGGAGGATCTCAGTGAGTGAGGCCAGCTTGGTCTATAGAGTGAGTTCCAGGACAGCCAGGGATACACAGAGAAGCCATCTTGAAAAACAAAACATAAAACAAACAAACAAAAAAAATAACCCCCCCAAAATATTGCAAACCCAAAATAAATCTTTTCCATGGCCGATATTCCTCTGCGGGCTTTGAAGCAACCTACAATTTGTCCTTAATCTTCCCTCAGTGTTTGCTTGACTGTCTTCATCAATATGGACTATTTCATGTCTCCCTAGGTTCACTGAGAACTTTCCCTTCTTCCTGCTGAACGTCTCTCCATGCTGCTTTGTCCTTAGCTGGCTCTCTACCACCCCAATCCCTCAACCATTTTCAGATCAGTTTTATTTTCATGCCTCACTGGAGAGCAATGTGGCTGATCTGAAGCCCTTGCCTGAGCTTGTATTTGTAACCACCAGCATTCCAAGCTGAAACGGAGATTAAATAGTTTCAAGTGAGCCTGGGGGCACAGTGGATTCTTTTTCTTTTTTTTTTTTTTTTTTTTTTTTTTTTTGGTTTTACAAGACAGGGTTTCTCTGTTTTGTTTTGGAGACTGTCGGTCCAGCCCGGCCTCGAACTCAGAGATCCGCCTGCCTCCTCCTCCTGAATGCTGGGATTAAAGGCCACCACCACCCGGCTTGCACAGTGGATTCTTAAACTAACTTGGACTATAGAGTGAGACCCTGTATCAATAAGCAAACAAACAAAAACTCTTGATTTGATAGTAATGTACAATTCCAGCTGGGTGTAGTAGCTTCTACCCACAATCCTAGCATTTAGGTACAAGGAATACCACCAGTATGAGGCCAGCCTAGACTGTTTAGTGAGACCTTGTCTCAACACCCTGCCAAGAGAAGTCCAACTTTTGCTTGTTACATATCTAATAGACTCAGGTGTATGTGTGGCTTTTATGTTCACATGTGGAGGCCAGAGGATGCTAGGAGTCCTGTTCTATCACCCTCAGAGTGACTTCCGGGTCTCTCTGTACTCGGAGCTGAGTGGCAGCCAGCAAAGCTCTGGGAATCCCCATCTCCATCCCCACAGTTGAGGGGCTGCAGAGCACTCTCTTCCCTCCACAGCACTGAGGTTACAGGGGAGTGCACATGAAACTGTATCTGGCTTTTTATGAGCATACTAGGGATTTTGAACTCTGGTCTTCCTACCTGGGCAACATGTGCTCTTACCCAGTGAGCTATGTTCCCAGCCCCTTAGTTTTATTTGGGTGGGGTCCCGATATGCAGCCCTGGGTGACCAGGCTAAGTTCATGAGTGATGCCCCTGCTCATCTGTTTCTCCGATGCTGGGATTACAGGCAGATACCACCATGCCTTTCAGTTCTTTTGTTATTGTTGTTTGAGACAGGGTATCTCTACATATCCCTGGCTGCCTTGGAACTTGATATGGAAACTAGGCTGGTCTCCTGCCTCTGCCTCTTGAATGGTAGGATTTAAGGTGTACACCACTATACCTGGGCATTTATTTTTTTTAATACAGGATTTCAAATATGCCACAGATTATCCTGAATTGAAAATCCACTTAGAAAAAAAGCCTAAATGTAGTTTGTAGTTTTCAGTGTGGCCTGTCTGCCTGGCACCTATTTTCTGAGTCTAACTCTTCACGAGGCACAACAGACTACAGGCGGAGACCATTCCCACGACTTGACGAGACTGAAGGTAGTCCCTGAGCCCTTACACTTTACGAACTGGCGTCTGGCTGAAGAGCTGTGGGACTGACCCATGTGAGACCAGAGTCTGCCGGTTTGGCTTGTTTAGTCCACAAGCGAGTTTTGCCAGGACCTGAAAGCACAGAGAACAATGAAATTGTCAGTATTAACAAGGTAACTATGTAGAGTTGACAAATATTAAACCATGCACACACATACACAGAGGCACAGCTTAAAGGCTATCCTAATACTTCTGACATGAAATCAGATATAACCAGAAATACTTCTCACACCCCGAGTTTCTCAGTACCCTCTGGGGAGCATTCTCCTTGTTCTCCCTATATCCTTCTAGTCTCAGTAGAAGTCATCTTTTTTCTTTTCTATTTGAGATTTTTCTCACAATAGGCTTAAAAAACAGAAACTCAAGTAAGATTCACTTCTTATTCATGTAAATATGAAAATGCTAAAATAGGCCAAGAATGGTGGTGCAATCCCGTAACGCCAACATTAGGAAGTGGATGTAGGAAGACCAGGAGTTAAAGACTGGCCTTGACTACCTACACACAGACACATACCTATAGCTGAACATTAAAAAATCTTTACCTCCCTTCACATAAATACACATTTATATATAATCATCCCTTAATTTCACTAGTAAGATTCTTTGTCTTTGAGACATGGTCTGGGATGGCTATTCTTCATTGTCAACTTGACTATATCTGGATTAACTAAAACCCAAGTGGCTGGGGATACCCGTGAAGAATCTTTTTCTTAATTTAATTAAATCATTTGTGGGAAGGTCACCACTCCCTCTGTTTTGTTTTGTTTTGTTTTGTTTTTTCTCAAGACACTCTGTGTTAACTCTGGAAGTCCTGGAACTATAGTCTATAAACCAGGCTGGCTTCAACCTCAGACATCTGCCTGCCTCTACTTCCCGAGTGTTAGGACTAATTAAAGGCTTATGCCACCGTCTGGCAAGACCCACTTGAGGTGAAAAGATCCACCCTTAATCTGGGATGCACATTCTGTCTGTAGGTCATAGATAAAGGACATGGAAGCAGGAAGTTTGCTCTTTGTTGTGAGAGCTCTATCCATTTAGGCCATAACATTTGGGGTAACCAGCCCTATGGGTGTAGTTTTCTCTGATACATGACTGAATAAGAACTGAGGTGGGGGTGGGTAGTTTAGCTCTCACTTGGACATGGAAGGCTTCCTGATGCACCATTTGGTGACCTAGCCTGCAACTTTCTCTATCCTTCCCTGGTGGAGGAAGAGGCAATGGTGTCGCTTCCCACTGTATTCGTGTGTGTGTGTGTGTGTGTGTGTGTGTGTTCCCTATTTCATCCCTTACTAAATAAGTCTTCTGCCGGGCATTGGTAGAGCACTCCTTTAATCCCAGCACTCTCGAGGCAGAGGCAGGTGGATCTCTGAGTTAGAGGCCAGCTTGTTCTACAGAGCGAGTTCCAGGACAGCCTCCAAAGCAATACAGAGAAACCCTGTCTCAAAAAACCAAAAATAAATAAATAAATAGTTCTTCCTAAGGACCTGTGGATTTCTCGCTAAATCTGGCACCCAACAAGGGGATAACCCAATGGCCACCTGAATCCGGCCCCTGGCCAGCTGGCATGGCTCACCACCTGGTTTGGGTCTGGGTGCTTGTATGCAGTAGCTACACTCTCAAACTCCATCTTTTGAAATTCCTGTTCCCCAAGATGCACTCTGGCTGCCAGACGATGTGTGTCTTCTTCTTGTTGCACTGCCAGGCAGCTCCAGGATCTTGGCCATCAGGTACTCCAGATTGGCCGCCATACACCCGGGTGCCAGAGGGACTGGTGCACACGGCCATGGGGAACTGAAGCAGCCCAGAAGCAGCAGATCTTGGCCTTGGCATGAGCCTTGCCACCCTGCTTGCCTCTACCAGACATTACTAGACAGGACAATGAGGTAGATTATTGTATCTACTTGTAAATTAAAATAGCACTATAACTTTTAGATAATTTGCATTGGTATGGATTCTTATATATTGATACAAATGTAAAATTATTTTTTCTATTCCTGTTCAAGATAATCTGTATATTGATACAAAGTCAAAATTATATTTGTCATATTGTGTACATGTTTCTATACCTGTTTAAATATTTTTGTATATTGTTACAGATGTAAGAGTATTTTTGACATACTGTATATATGTTTCTACTGCTGTTTAGGATATTTTGTATATTGGTACAAATTAAGGATATTTTTGTCATATTGCACTATACAGTTCTACCTCTGATTAAGATATTTTTGTATAGTGTCACAATTTCAAGGTCATTGTCCTTTTACTGTATATCTGTTTACAGACTGTTTATACTGTGAAGCTTTATTTTATTTTTTATTTTTTTGATTTTTTGAGACAGGGTTTCTCTGTAGCTTTGGAGCCTGTCCTGGACCTCGCTCTGTAGATCAGGCTAGCCTCGAACTCACAGAGATCCGCCTGCCTCTGCCTCCTGAGTGCTGGGATTAAAGGCGTGCTCCACCAACGCCCAGTTGAAGCTTTATTCTTTTTTTTTTTTCCCCTTCCCTTCCTCGAAGCTTTATTCTTTAAGCTATATAAGTTACTAAGAATTACAGGTTAAGTAGGAAATATTCTTGAATGCATAGGCACAGGATACCATCTCCTAAATATAACACCAGTAGCACAGACACTGAGAGCAACAATTGATAGATGGTACCTCCTGACACTGAGAAGCTTATGTAAAGCAAAGGACACAGTCAACAAGACAAAATGGCTTCCTACAGAATGGGAAAAGATCTTCACAAACCCCACATCTGACAGAGGACTGATCTCCAAAATAAACAAAGAACTCAAGAAACTAAACATCAAACTACCAAATACTTCAATTACAAAATTGGGTAGATGCCGGGCAGTGGTGGCGCACGCCTTTAATCCCAGCACTCGGGAGGCAGAGGCAGGCGGATCTCTGTGAGTTCGAGGCCGGGCTGGACCGACAGCCTCAAAAACAATACAGAGAAACCCTGTCTCGTAAATACAAAAAAAACAAAACAAAAAACAAAACAAAAAAAAAAAAAAAAACAAAATTGGGTAGAGATCTAAACAGAGAATTCCCAAGAGGACAATCTCAAATGGTGGAAAGACACTTAAGGAAAGTCTCAACATCCTTAGTCATCAGGGAAATGCAAATCAAAACAACTCTTGAGATACTATCCTTATACCGATCAGAATGGCTAAAATCAAAAACAATGATGACAACTTATGCTGGAGAGGATGAGGAGTAAGAGGAACACTCCTCCATTGTTGGTAGGAGTGCAAACTTGTACAACCTCTGTGGAAATCAGTGTGGTGATTTTCTCAGAAAATTAAGAATCAACCTACCTCAAAAGACCCTGCAATACCACTCTTGGGCATATACCCAAAGGATGCATTATCACACAAGGACATTTGCTCAACTATGTTCATAGCAGCATTATTAATAATAGCCAGAACTTGTAAACAACCTAGATGCCCCTCAACAGAAGAATGGTTAAAGAAAATGTGGTACACATACATAATGGAGTACTACTCAGTGGTAAGAAACAATGACATCCTAAAGTTAGCAGGCAAAAGGACAGAACTACGGAAAAAAAAAAAACATCCTGAGTGAGGTAATCCAAACCCAGAAAGACAAATATAGTTTGTACTCACTCATAATTGGATACCAGACATAAAGCAAAAGATACCTAGCCTATAATCCACCACCTCAGAGAAGCAGAACCCTCTTCTAGAAACAGATGGAAGCAGATGCAGAAATCCACACCTAACCACTGGGCCAAGCTCCTAGAAGAGAGGGAGGAGTGATAATATGAACAAAGGAGTCAAGTCCATGATGGTGAAACCCACAGAATCAGCTGACCCAAGCTATTGAGAGATCACTGCCTCCGCAATTCAACTGGGGAACTGGCAAAGGACTGAACTAGCACCCCTGAATACAGGTGACAATGGTGTGGCTGGGACAATATATGAGGCCATTAGCAGTGGGTCTAAGATCTAACTCTAATGCACAAACTGATTTAGTGGAGCCCATTCTATATGGAAAGATACCAAGACATGAGGGGGGGTGCCTTGCTTCTGCCTCAACGACATGATGGGACAGACTTAGTTGACTTCCTAGGGGAGGCCTGACCCTCTCCAAGGAGCAGATGGAAGTGGGGTAGAGGAAAAGTGGGGGCAGCAGGAGGAAAGGAGGGAGGGAGAAGTGGGATTGTAATGCAAAAATAAATAAATAAATCTAAAAAAATAATTACAGGTTAATAGTCACCCATATTTATCATACTTAGGTTTTCTAGATGCACAAAGATGTAGTTCATATAGACAGGTGATCTTCACACACTTCAAAGACCTATAGAATATGGCATTTAAATGTTTTAAAAACTAGAATTCTGTTGACACGAGACACAACTGCTTCTGGTAGCACGAATCTATCCCCGAGAGAATGATGGGCACTAAAGACACCCCATATGAAGCATGTTTTCTTCTTGGCAAAACTGGCCTATTGGGCAAAGAACTGCCCTTGCCTTTACTGATGACAGTAAGCATGCTGTTCAATTAAAAGTGACTGATGAACCCTGTCAAGACAGGGTAGGACAGTCTTTCAAATTTTCCTGCTTCTGAAAATGTTCTGTCAAATGTCCTAGGCCAAGCTGGGCATTGGTGGCACATACCTTTAATCCCAGCACTTGGGAGGCAGAGGCAGGTGGATCTCTGTGAGTTCAAGGCCAGCCTGGTCTAACCAACCGAGTTCAAGGACAGCCTCCAAAACAATACAGAGAAAACCTGTCTTGAAAAACCTAAAAAGTTCTAGGCCTACAGCCAAGTTTTGTGAGTGGATTGAGGATGGGAACATGAGCAATCAGATGGGGAAGGCATGGAGGGAGAGAGCGCTGAGGGAGAGTTCTGGGGGACCAGCATTTGGGGGGGTCCAGTGGAAGCCTGACACAGCCTGAACCAGCCGTCTCCTGTGCCTGGCCCAACTGTCATCAGAGGTGCCATGCTGCAACCGATAAAGGCTGATGCGGAGACCCACAGCCAAACATTAAGTGGAGTTCGGGAATCCTGTGGAGGATGAGGAGAAAGGAGTGTAGGAGCCAGAAGAGTCAAGGATACCAAGGCTCCCACTATCAACTAACCTGGGCTCATAGGGGCTCACTGAGACTGAAGCGACAACTAGAGAGCCTGCATGAGACGACCTAGACACTCTATATATGTTACAGGTGTGTAGCTTGGTCCTCTTATGGGACTCATAACATAACAGTTGGGGCTGTCTTCAACTCTTATGAGCTTTTGGGACCCTACTCCTCAGTGGATCACCTTGCCCAGTCTTAATACATGGAAAAGGGCTTAGCCTTACTGCAACTGTCCTTTCCTGGAGAGACAACGAAGAGGAGGGAGTTGGAGGTGGGAGGGAAAGGGACTAGGAGGGGAGGATGGCGGTGAGGGATTCGGCCATGATGTAAACTAGATGAAGTAAAACAACAACAAGACAAAAACACATAAAGTGTGCACCACCATGACTAGCTATTGGTAAAATTCTTTAGTAATTTCAACTAGGTAATATTTAGTATGATCTACATTACGTTAACATTCCATTAGGAATATTGTTTTCCTTCCTTTCATATAGCTGAAACAAAACAAAACCCCCAAAATTCTTCTGGGCAGCTTAGCAACTCCTTCTATTAGAGGGAAAGAAGGTAACAGCAACCTGGCCAGCTACTGCTCAATCATTGAGTCTTTAACATAGAGTTGATGGAAATCCTGTATTCTCACTGTACTTGATTCACAGTTAGTTAGAAAATCAGTTACTCTGCTCCTGGACTACTGAGAATTGTCTGTGTTTTAAAAATAGTGGTTCAAATTAAATTTTACTGCCACTTTTATTTATTGTTCCAATTGCTCAACCCTGAGGACTGGGTTTGAAGGCCAGTACCTTATGAAACCAGCTATGCATAATCCTGGACACACTTGCAACCTCAGCACTGGAGGGGGAAGAGACACAAAGATCTCTAGAAGATCTCTAGGACTTGATGGCTGCTAGAATAGCCCACTCCCCTAAAAAAAAAAAAAAGTTAATTCTAGGTTCAGAGAGAGACCTAGCCTAAAAGGAGTACAGCAGAGGAGTGATAAGATTATGTCACACATAAGCACACATCACAGACATATGCCAAACTTACATGTGTATATATATATATATATATACATACAAGAAACAGACAAAAGCAAAAAATATCCAGGCAATTCCACATCAGGAAACAATGACACTAAGTGTAGTAGCAGATGCCTATAATCCCAGGACTTGGGAGGTAGAGACAGGAGGGTCAAGGTCATCTTTGGTACATAAGAAGTTTGAGGCTAGTCTGAGCTACATGAGCCCCTACCTCAAAATGCCAAAACTGATAAGATAAAACAACAACAAAAATAAATACACAGCAAGTGACAATAAAAGAAATAGGCTAATACATAAAAGCTCAAAGCCTCAGCTTTGTTTTTTTCTTTTTGAGACAGAGTTTCTCTGTGTATCAGCTCTGGCTGTCCTGAAATTTGATTTGTAGACCATACTGGCCTCGAACTATCCACCTACCTAGCTTTTTTTAAAAATATAACTTCTTTTAGAATGATTTATTTTATGTGCATTGCTGTTTTGCCTACATGTATGTCTGTGTGAGGGTTGCTGGATCTCTTTTTGTCAGCTTTCAGGTTGTTCTGTAAGTACTTATGCCATGTCAAGTAGTGTTCTTTATTTCTTAAGTTTTTTGTTTTTTGTTTTTTTCGAGACAGGGTTTCACTATATTATTTTGGAGGCTATCCTGGAACTGGCTCTGTAGACCAGGCTGGTCTCGAACTCACAGAGATCCTTCTGCTTCTGCATCTTGAGTGCTAGGATTAAAGGTGTGTGCCACCATTGCCTGGCTTATTTCTTAAGTTTTTATTTGAGTCTCAATATGAATTTTATTTTAGCTGTTTTTTAAAAAATTACACTTATGGGGGGAATTGCACATATGGAGATCTCTTCTTCCACCATGTAGGTTCTATGGAGAACTCAGGTCATTAAGCTTGGTGGCAAGTGCCTTTACGCACTGAACCATTTTACCAGTCCCAAAACTTGAAACAGTTAAAAAAAATTTTTTATGTATATGGGTGTTTTGATTACATGTATGTCTGTACAACAGGTACATGCAATGCCCTCAGAGGCCAGAAGTGTTGGCCCCCTGGAACTGTACAGACAGTTGAGAGCTACCTCATGGGTGGTGCAAACTGAGTCCATGTCCTCTGAAAGAAAGCCAGTGCTCTTAACCTTTGCCCCCCCCCCCTTATTTTCTTTAAGTTTTTTGAGACAAGGTCTCACATAGAGCAGACTGGCCTGGAGCTCTAGAACTCTTGGTTTTCTTGCCTCCACCTCCCTAGCGGTGAAGGCACAGACACGCACTGCCACACAGGCTCTCCGTGTGAGTTCTAAGATCCACTAACAGCACCCTGGCTGTACTTGACTACCGCTGTGGGTGTTGTCTCTGGAGTCTACGGGAAGCCTTCACCTTATTGTGTGAAATCCCAGCTGAACACTGAAAACCAGTCTTCCTCTCTATGGCTGCTCTCATCTCTTCCACAATCACGGCCCCCACAGTCAGCTGTAGGTCTGGAGAGGCGGCATCGTCAATCTGAAGAGAGCCAAGCCACTGAAGTAAGCCTTGTTTTCGAACTGCCTCTGGAAAAAAAGGTTACATTTAGACATTTTTAAAACTAGTCATTTTTCAGTCATGAATCACATACCATTTTATCACGGGCAGACTACATATATGATGGTATATGGCATTAGTAGGCTATATGATCTAGCTTTCTACAAGTACGTGACATCTGCACAATGATGAACTCACTCAGCGACACATTTCCCAGAGCATATGCCTGAGATTGAGCAGCACATAACTGTATTTACCATTCAGTATACAAATAGGCTGCGGTCAAGTAGACACATAGGTTTACTTTAAACTTTATTTTATCCATGTGTGTGTCTGTGTATGACACGTGTGTGGGTACCCCTGGGGGCCAGAAGAGGATTTGTGGTTGTCTCACAATGAGAATGCTGGGAACCAAATATCGGTCCTTTAGAGGAACACCAAGTGCTTTTAACCGTTAAGCCATCTCTCCAGCACCATTTTCTTTCTGACTGCATTTGATTTGGTTTGTCTGCATGAGCATATGTACATGTGGATCAAAGAAACCAAACCCAGGTTGTGAGGTTTGGTAGCAGGCCCCTTTACCTTTGGAGACATCTCACCAGCCCTAGATACATAGGGTTAGAAAATCAATCACATTTGAACATACCAATTGCAGCAGCCTTAGTTTCAGCTTAGGTTTAAACTTATAGTGATAACATGTAACAAATGTTTTATGATAACAATCATTTGTGAATAATGATTTATTCACACATAGTTCAAACATGCTACCATTGATCTATACTTCCAGCCCAGGAGCAATGATTTAAAATCGTGTTCCCTCAATTTTTTTCTTATGCTTCTTTTTTTGTTTGTTTGTTTGTTTTTTGTTTTTCAATATAGGGTTTTTCTATGTATCCCTGGCAGTCCTGGAACTCACTATATAGAAGAGTCTGACCTTGAACTCAGAGATCCACCTGCCTGGGATTAAAGGCATGTGCCACCATGCTGGACTATGATACTCTCTGTTCTTAATAAAACCCTGAAAAAAAAATTCTTTTTTCCAGACAGGGTTTCTCTGTATTGTTTTGGAGGCTATCCTGGAACTCACTCTGTAGACCAGGCTGGCCTTGAATTCATAGAGATCTGAGTGGTGGGATTAAAGGTGTGTTCCGCCTCTGCCTGGCTTTGCAGTGTCTTTTTTTTCCAGAATCCTTTTCCTGTTTCAGATCCCTTCGAGTTAAGTTACAGGTGGTTGTAAGCTGCCTGATGTGGGTTTTGGGAGCCAAATGTGGGTCTTCTGCAAGAGCAGTGTGTGGTCCTGACTACTGAGCCATCTCTGTAGTACTCCCTCAATTTAAAAACAATTAAGAGGTACTTATTCTATGGGTTGGGGGAAAGGGTATGCACCAAAGCATACACGTGGAGACCAAAGAACAACTTGCAGGAGTCAGGCTTCTTTCCTGTCACAATGCAGGTCCCAGGGACTGAACTCAGACCATTGGGCAGGAAGTGCCTTTACCTGCTGTGGCGGTTGGATGAGAATGGCCCCAAAGGCTCGCATATTTGAATGTTTGGTCCCTAGTTGGAGCAACTGTTTGACAAGAATTAGGAGATATAGCCTTGTTGGAAGAGGTGTGCCCCTGGGGTAGGCTTTGAAGTTTCAAAAGTCCATGACATTCCTTGTGGTTGTTGTAAGATCTCAGGTACTGCTCCAGCACCACAACTGCCTAACTGCTGCCATGCTCCCCACGACAGTCAGGGACTCACCCACTGACACTCTAAGTCCAATAAACCCTTTCTTCCATAAGTTGCCTTGATAGTGGCATTTGCACATAGAAAAGTAAGACACCTGCAGAACAAAAACACTATCACAAGCCCAACCACCTCAGCTCTTTCCACATGGTTTGAGGGTGTACTCAGAGGACAAGCATTCGTGGTGTACTGGAAGCCCTAGGCTTGTCTCCTAAAACAAAAGCCTCGAACCCAAAACTTACCATATAACGCCCACAATTTAAATACTCTTACTAGTATTATCAACCTATCAACCTTATCTTCCTGTTCAAAACTGCTGTTGCCTCTCACAAAATTTGCAACGTGCAGAGTTGCTGTGAGAATTAAAAGATGAGTGTGTGGTAGCATATGTCTGTAATTCTAGTAACACCAATGGCTTGGGGGGAGGGGTAAACAATTTGAGGCCAGTCTGGGGTTCCCAAAAAAAGCCTTTCTCTTGAGGAAAAATTTTAAATTAGTCAACCCCTACAACTAAGGTCTTCATTTTAAAAGCTCATTCTGGTGCTGGAGAGATGACTCAGCAGTTAAGAGCACTTTCTGACGACCTGGGTTCAATTCCCAGCATCCACGTAGCAACTCACATCTATCTGTAACTCCAGCCCCCTCAGTATTGTACACATGTGGTTCAAAGACATACATGCAGGCAAAACACATAAAAGTAAGTTAAAAATAAAAAGCTCACTCTGGCCGGACAGTGGTGGTGCCACCTTTAATCCCAGCACTCAGGAGGCAGAAGCAGGTGAATCTCTGTGAGTTCCAGGCCAGCTTGGTAAACAGAGTGAGTTCCAGTTACAAAGAGAAACCCTGCTTCAAAAACACACACACACACACACAAACAAAACAAAACCCTCACTCTGCTTATTGCTAAATAAAGCAAGAAACTAAATGACAATAGTATGAATTAATCTACAGATGAAGGAAGTAGGGTTATATATCTAAAGAGTTAATTTACTTTCATACAAATTTCACAGCTTCTCATCATGCACATATCCAGAAAGATAAAGAGAATTTGTATATCCTTTCATGTGAGTTTCCATGATACACACAGACAATAATTTAGGTAATGTTCTAAAAAGAATCAGCATAAGCAACAGCAAAGCAGGTTCCAAAGCAGGAAGCAGAAGCAATGTGCTGCTATACAAGTACCTTTCTGAGTAGTCTCTTCTACTGTAGGGCCTCGGGGCAGCCCTTCAATGTAAGTGGTTGGTAACAAGTCTGCCGCGATAGGCTGACCTTGTAACTTTTGAAGTCTGTCTTGCACAGCACTGGTCAGATCTATATAAGCCTCATCAATGCTGGCACGTTCAATCACAGCAAAGTGAGACATTATCTCCATGACTTCAACACTAGCTTCCCGGTACCTAAGTATGAGGATCATACAAGCAGGCCATAAATGGACACAACCTTGAGACTGTCAGCCCCACGTTGTTCCCTTAATGAACAAACACACACCTTTGATCCCAGCACTTGGGAGGCAGAGGCAGGTAGATCTCTGTGAATTTGAGGCTAGCCTCGTCTACAGAGCGAGTTCCAGGACAGCCAGGGCTACACAGAGAAACCCTGTCTCAAAAAACAAAAAAAACAAAAACCAAAAACAAACAAAAAACTTAGCATTATGAAACATTCTACCATGTTCACCTATCCCTTTGCCACTTACATACAACCAAAAAGTCATTTGCTTCCAGAGTCTATCATTAAACAAGATACAGCTTATGGAGAACATGACAATCAGCAGAACAGATCTCTCTTATGACAGCAACTCTCACTACAAATTAACAAACTGACTATGGGCTTCAATTTCAGTCAATGGTATTGGCTGGTGTAAGCTCTGGACATACTATCATTCAAATTATGAAGACAAGTGCCTAGAATTTGGTGACACATTTGGGCAGGTAGACTACCTGCTTTAGGGGAATACCATCTAGATCTATTTAAGACATGGGATAGTCTTTTATCAACTTGACACAAGCTAGGGTCATCTGGGAAAACAAAACCTCAATTGAGAAAATGCCTCCATCAGATTGACCTGAAGGCAAGTTAACGAGGCATTTTCTTGATTAATGTTTGCTGTGGAAAGGCCCTGTTTACTGAGGGCTGTGCTACTCCTAGGCAGGTATCAAAAAAACAAAGTGTATACAGACTGAGTATATATGGAAGATTTGGAGGGAGAAAAAGAAGGGGGAAATGATGTTAATTATAATCTCAAAAACTTATTAACAGCAACAACAAAAAAGAAAACAAACCCAAAAAAAGCAAATTGAGTGGGCCATGGGGAGCAAGCCATGGTCTTGCAATCTTCCAGTCTCTACTTCAGCTCCTGCCTCCAGGTTCCTGCCCTGACTTTCATCTCAGTGATGGACTGTGACCTGGAATGCAAGTCAAAATAAACCCTTTCCTCCCCAACGTGCTTTGGGGCAGGGTTTTATCACAGCAATAGAAAGCAAACTAAGATAAACCATAAATGGTTCTTCTAGCCAAATAGCTAGTTTTCTACAACAATCTGGGTGATTTCTTTTTTGGGGGCGGGGTGGGGTGGGGAAGGGACAGGGTTTCTCTGGGTAACAGCTCTGTCTGTCCTGGAACTTATTTTGTATACCAGGCTGGCCTTAAATTCACTGAGACCTGCCTGCCTCTGCCTCCTGAATGCTGAGATTAAAGGTGTGTACCACCACCTCCCAGAAAGCTACTAATGTTTTGTCAATTGTGTCTTTAGTTCACAGGTCAATTCAGAAATATTTCAAGTCCCAAGTCAAAGCCTGATGTCTATAGCATTCAGTACAACATATTTGGAAAATGTAGATATTCAAATCTGCAAAGAATAGATGTGAATCTTCAATCTTCTACTCAATTGTTGAATTTAAATTATTTAACCTCTTTTGAGCTAGGGGTATAGATCCATCTGTAGAGTATTGGCTTAGGATACATGCAACCCTGGGTTCTATCCCCACCAATGCAAAAACATAACATGATAGAGCAGACCTGTAATTCCAGCACTTAGGAGGTGGAGAAAAGAGGTTCAGGAGTTGAAAGGTATCCTTTGTTACAGAATGACTTCAAGGCTTGCCCTGGCATATATGATACCCTGTCTCTCAAAAATAAAAACAAAATTCAAAAAATCAAATCATATAAGAAGCCAGGAGGTGGTGGGGCATGACTTTAATCCCAGCACTCGGGAGGCAGAGATAGGTGGATCTCAGTGAGTTTGAGACCAGCCTGGTCTACAGAGCTAGTTCCAGGACAGGCTCCAAAGCAACAGAGAAAACCTGTCTGGAAAAACAAAAACAAACAAAACAACAACAACAACAAAAACACTATAAAGATAGGATTTCCAGACAGAGGGCTCCTAGCTGTCTCTGTCCTTAGCTCCTGTGTGTGTCACCAGGTCCATAGCAGTCAAGATAATGTGTGGTGCACTGTTCTCCACACAGCTGGCCACAGCCGAGACATAGGAGATCACGACGAAGTGAAATCTCAGCTTGAAGAGAAAGAAAATCCGGAAGTTCACCATCTTGAAAACCATGTCGTTCAGGTGACAGGTGGTGGCTGGCATCAACATGTTAGTGATGATAAATTTGTGCACTTGAGGGTGTTCAAGGCCCTCCCCATGAAAACAAGCCCTTGACCCTGTCTTCCTGACAGACCAACAACGAACAACATGACGAGCTGAGCTTCTTCTGATTCTGCAACCCTGATCAAACATTTCATCTCTCTATGGTGTTTGGGACACGAAGTCAATCCCCTCTGTGATGGAGGCGGTGGAGTTAGGCAGCTTCTTTTGTGATTCCCAAACTGCAGTGAGTTTGTTTTCTTTCAAATAAGTATTTTCAGACAGCTATATACTATCCTCTATAAATATATAACGTCTAAAAAAAAAAGATAGGATTTACAACTTTACTAGTACCTACCTAGAAATAATGTAAGAGTGAACAGAGCTATTCCCTATGAAGAACACTGCCTGGAATATATACACAACATGCATTAATTATTAGGACTTATGGTTTGAATAGGAATGCCCCCTTAGGTCCATATGTTTGAACATTTAGTCATTAGGGAGTGGCACTACTTGACAGGGATTAGGAAGTGTGGCCTTGTTGGAGTAGGTGTGTGTAGCTTGGCTGGAAGAAGTGTGTCACTATGGGTGGGTTTTGGGGTTTCAAATGCTCAATTCAAACCTAGTGTCTCTGCCTCTTCCTGTTTCTTTTGGATCCTATGAGAACTCTGGGTTACTATATCTGCCTGCATGCCACCATACTCACTGTCACGAGGATAAACCTCTGAAAGTCTAAGTAAGCCACAGTTAAATGTTTTCTTTTTATAAGACACCATAGTTATGGTGTCTCTTCACAGCAATAGAATACTGACTAACACAGGCCTGTTGTAATGACTGGGGCTTGTGCCTACCTCTATACATGTCTCTCATTCTAAAACTAACCTTCACATTTGCAGATAGGCTCAACTGAAGGAAAAAAAAGCAGGGGCTGGAGAGGTGGCTCAGTAGCTAAGAGCATTGGCCTCTCTTCCAGAAGACTCATGTTCAATTCCCAGCACCCACATGGCAGCTCAAAACTGTCTATAACTCCAGATACAGGGGATCTAACATCCTCACACAGACATGCCTGAAGACAAAACATCAATGCACACGAAATAGATTCAAAATTCAAAAAATAAAGAAAATAAAGTAGCCCCTGTCCTTTCCAACTTGGGATCAGGAAAATGACTCCCACAAAGAAGGGTGGCAATAAGAGGGGCCATTCTACCATCAATGAGAAGGTGTCCCAAGAATACACCATCAACATTCACAAGCACATTCATGGAATGGACTTCAAGAAGAATGCCCCTCAGGCACTCAAGACATCCAGAGATTTGCTAGGAAGGAGATGGGGCTCCAGATGGACACACTTATACCAGCTGTTTCTCTTTCCAGCATATGGGTCCCAGGTACAAACTCGGATTGTGGTATGTGCCTTTACCTGCTGAGTTATCTCACCAGCCTCATAATAACTGACTTTTTCTTTGGTTTGGTTTGGTTTGGTTTGGATTTTGGAAGTAGGATTTTTCTGTGTATCAGCTCTGACCGTCCAGGAACTAGTAGACCAGACTAGCCTCAATCTTACAGAGATCCATCTGTTTCTTTCTCCTAAGTGCTGATATCAAAGGTGTGTGCCACTACCTCCTGACTAACAACAGATTAAAAAAAAAGATTTTATTGATTTTTAAATTATGTGAATGGAGTGTGTGTGTAATACGTGAACCTGAATGCAAGTGCTCTCAGAAGCCAGAGGCCTCAGATCCTGCTGTAGCTGGGGTTACAGACATCTGTGAACTGCCCAGTGTAGGTGCTGGGAACCAAACTCAGGTCCTCTCCAAGAGCAGTACCTCCTCCTAACCACTGAGCAATCTTTCACCCCCTCATTATGACTGATTTTTAAACAAGGAAAATAATAAGTAGTTCCTTAAAGGCAAGAACATAAGAACAATAATAAAACTGTCACTGAAGTACACATAAATTATTTAACTCATAGACACAGGATGCTGACAGAGAAACATTTTCATATTTGTTTGAACAATAGTTTGAGTACACTGCAAGGAGCAACAAGCTAGCAGTATTTACCTATAGCTTTTCTGGGGGGGCAGAGCGGGGGTTCGAGACAGGGTTTCTCTGTGGCTTTGGAGGCTGTCCTATAACTAGCTTTTGTAGACCAGGTTGGTCTTGAACTCACAGAAATCCTCCTGCCTCTGCCTCCTGAGTGCTGGGATTAAAGGCGTGCGCCACCATTGCCCGGCTCTGTAGCTTTTTTAAAAAATGTGGTTCTTGGTAGTAAACCTAGGATCTAATGAATGCTAGGCACCCGCTCTACCACTGTGCCACACTCCCATACCCACAAAACACGTCCCAACTCCTTTACAGTGTCTTTTACTTACTTGGTAAGGTTAGCTTTCCCGCGGGATTCACGAACTTGTGCCAGTAGAAGATCAGGACATAACTTCTTAGCATCATCTGCCCACATGTTTCTAGTGACCCCAAATGCCCGAGCTTCATAACTCACTGCAATAATTCTAAAGTTAGGGGAGAGAAAAGGAAACAAAAAACAAAAATATTACATGATCTCAAACAACAACAAACTTTAAACAGAAATAGATTATAAACACATAAGATTAGAAATTTTGTGAGCATAGATGCTATTTTTCAGCAGTTCAGAAATCTTAAAAACAAGACCTTGAACAGAATCATTGAGTTTCCATAGACTAAAATACTTGTGGGGTTTGGAGTAATGGTTAAGAGTTAAGGGCACTGGTTGCTCTTTTTACCTGGGTTTGATTCCCAACACCGAGATGGTAGCTTACAACTATCGGTAACTCCAGTCCCAGCAAATCCAACACCTTATTTTGTCTTCTGTGGGTACTGTATGCAAGTGGTACACAGACATAGATGTGGACAAAACATACACAAATTAAAAAAAATACTAAGAGGAACTGAGGAGATGCCTCAATCAGTGAAGTGTCTGCCATGCAAGCAAGCAGATCTGAGTCGGGACCATCAGGACCCACAGAAACAGGTGGATCCCTCAGGCTTTCTGGCCAGCCAGCCAGAGTCACGCACACACAATAATACATACCCACCACCTTTCCATGATTTGTACTGTACGACTGCACAAGGTTTATTCCTCAAATGAGGGTTTTGCCGTTGTTCTACTTGGACAAAAAAACAATCCATATCCACAAGAGCAACCACTCGATCCTGTCCAGTAGTCATTTATTTCTGGAAGACATTGTATAAACAGAAATATACTTAGTACAAAATACAAAAGCAAAACAAAAAGACCCCGATTGTAGGTCCACATCTTTGATCTCAGCACACAGGAGGCAGAGGCAGATAGATCTTCAGGTCTACACGGTGAGACCCTGTCTCAAAACAATAACAACCATTTTTGTACATGCTAACTGAAAGGCATTTTAATCTACTGCTGACATGAGAATAAACTATTGCAATTTTATGAAGGTAATACATATTTAAAGCTTTAAATACAGTTTCACTGGGCTCAGTCTCTATTTGAATTCCTGATCCTCCTGCCTCTACTTCCCAAGTGTGGGATTACAAGCATGCATCAGAGCCCCTGGTTATTCAGTCTCAGAAATAGACATTTCATAAAAGATACACAAATAGCCAAAAGTTACCTGTCTTAGTTACTGTTCTATTGCTATAAAGAAACACCATGATCCAAGCAACTTTTATAAAAGAAAGCATTTAACTAGGGGGAGGGGGTGCAGAGGCAGGTGGATCTCTTTGAGTTCGAGGCCAGCCTGGCCTACAGAGTTAGTTCCAGGACAGGCTCCAAAACTACACAGAGAAACCTTGTCTTGAAAAACCAAAAAGGAAAAAGGAAAGGAAAGGAAGGAAGGAAGGAAGGAAGGAAGGAAGGAAGGAAGGAAGGAAGGAAGGAAGGAAGATGGGTTAATTTAATGTAAGTTATCTAGTAACAATTCTGAACTATTGGCTAAGCATGGCTAAGACTCTGAGTGGTTGTGAAGTGGCTGCTGGGACAGGAAAACTCCACTTACACTACACACCCCCTCTAACAAGGCCACACCTCTAATTCTTCCCAAACAGTCCCACTAACTAAGGACCAAGCATTCAAACATATGAGCCTATGTGGAGGTCAATGTCACTCACATCACCACAGTACCCAACAAAGGACTCAGCATGGACTCAGTTCATGAGAAAATGAAAATTAAAACTACACAGACCAGCTGGGCACTGGTGGCACACGCCTTTAATCCCAGCACTCAGGAGGCAGAGGCAGGAGGATCTCTGTGAATTTGTGGCCAGCCTGGTCTACAGAGCAAGTTCCAGGACAGCCTCCAAAGCCACAGAGAACCCCCCCAAAAAACAACAAAAACCAAAACTACACAGACCAAAACCCGCAATGTACACTACGGAGAGAGGGCCAAAAGGTATTCTAGTCGGCAGATAGACCCCCCCCCCCGGCAGGTGTAAATTTAGGGGAAAAAGAAGAAAATGTTACATATCAATTAATCTAGGTTGAAAGACTTCAGGAAAAAAGTAAATGCAATGACTGTATATAGACACTTCTCATCATTCTCTAAAAGATACAGTCTATCTACTTATATAGTACTTTTATTGTGCTAGGTATTATGATTTGAAGTATTTGGAAGAGACTGGGGGTTGTTATTCAATGTTAGAGCTCTTTCCTAGCATTCTCAAGACCACAATTTTGAACCTTACCGTGTGTGTGTGTGTGTGTGTGTGTGTGTGTGTGTGTGTGTAATGGCAAAGGTCATATACAAATACTACATGTGACAGTTATGTAAGAGACTCAAGCAATTGCAGACTGGGTATCCTGCAGACTGCAACAAGAATATCCTGGAATCAGTCTTCCTGTGAATTTGGAAGGATGGTATATATACATATACATATGCATACATACATACACACACACAAAATATCATGGCATTCATAAAAAATCAGGGGTGGCAGTGAGACAGGGTATCACTGTGTAGCTCTGGCTACCCTGCAACTCACTATGTAGACCAGGCTGGACTAAAGGTGCTTGCTACAGTTGTCATCATACAAACTGTTTATTTTGAAATACTTCTTAAAAGACATGGATATAGAGAATGGGGACACACTTCTATAATTCCAGCACTCAAGAGGCTAAGGCAATAAGCCTTAGTTTAAGTTTAAGGCCAGACCAAACTACATACAAAGATCTTTGTTTCAAGAAGAACACACACATAAATGAAGAAAATAATCTAATACGATGTAAATACCCTGTTTCTCTGCAAATTTTCACTAACCAAGCAACTTTCAATAGATCCTACCTTTTATGTTTTGAGTAGTTCTTTATTTCTTCCTTTCCCCTTTACTTATTTTTAAAAGACAAGTATCATGTAGCCAAATTGGCTCAAAACTTGCTTTGTAGCCACAAATGACCTAGCACTACTCGACCCTCCTGCTAAATGCTGACATTACAAGTACATGCCAAGAGAGAGGCCTGAGCTGAGGCCTGAGCCTCAGCGAGCAGCGAGCTTCCGTAGTGGGGTAAGAAGTTCATCTGAGAAAGAGCACCTGTGTCCCAGCCAGCATCCCATGACATTTCTCAGTGAGAGATACCACACTTCTGCAGTGACTACCAGAACCTCAGCCCCACATTTACCAGAACTGTGACCCTGTCTTCACCTGGAAGAGCAGTAACAGAGCTGTGGCTCTGTCTGCACCTCCAGGACAAACATCTGAGCCTGCTTCCACCTGGAGAGCAATCACCAGAGCCACAGCCCCCAACTGCACCAATGGCAGGGTGAGGGACCCTCTGAAGCATGGGCTTCACATATACTGATTGGAGGAAGAGACGGGTAGACAACAACAACATAAACAGCAATACACCACCACCCAAAAGTAGTGGTGCTACAACAGCAAGACCTGAACATCCCAATGCACATGAAGCAGAAGGAAATCACCTTAAAATAACTTTATGAAGATGTTTGAGACCCATAAAGAGGAAATGAAAATCCCCATAAAGAAATGGAGGAAAAGACAAAAAAAATTGGGGGGGGCGGGAAATCAGTAAATCCCTTAAAGAAAGTCAAGAAAAAACAAGCAAACAAGTCCAAAACTTGAAAACTGAAATACAGGCAATAAAGAAAAGGAAAAACACCGGGCACTGATGGCGCACACCTTTAATCCCAGCACCCGGGAGGCAGAGGCAGGCAGATCTCTGTGAGTTAGAGGCCAGCCTGGCCTACAGATCGAGTTCCAGGACAGCCAGGGCTACACAGAGAAACCCTGTATCAAAAAACACTGACTGCTCTCCCAGAGGTCCTGAGTTCAATTCCCAGCACACGAAATAAATAAATAAATCTTTAAATAAACAAAAAAACCCTATTTTTAAAAAAATACAAGAGATGAAAGACACAGTCTCAGGTATTAAAGATAAGATAGAGAAAATAGATTAAGTGGTCAAAGAAAACCTTAAATCCAACAAATTCCTAACATAAAATATCCAGGAAATCTGGGACACCATGAAAAGACAAAACCTAAGAATAATAGAGATACAGGAAGGAGAAGTCCAGCTCAAAGGCACAAAAAATATATTCAACAAAATCATTGAAGAAAACTTAACCAACCTAAAGAAGGAAATGCCTATGAAGATACAAGAAGCCTACAGAACACCAAATAGACTGGACCCCCAAAAAGTCCCCTTGCCACATAATAGCCAAAACATAAAATGCACAGAATAAAGAAAACATACTAAGAGCTGCAAAGGGGAAAGGTCAAGTAAAATACAAAGGCAGATCTCAGAATAACATCGGACTTCTCAAGAGAAACGATGAAAGCTGGAAGGTCCTGGTCAGGCATTATGCAGACACTAAGAGACCATGGATGCCAGTCCAGAATAAAATACCCAGCAAAACTTTCAATCACCATAGACAGAGAAAACAAGATATTCCACGATAAAACCTTAAACAATACCTATCCACAAATCCAGGCCTACATAAAGTACTAAAGGAAAGATCCAAGCCATGGAAATCAACTACTTAAAAAAAAAAAAAAGATCTCACAGCAACAAAGTCCAAAGAAAGGAAACGCACACACAATACCAACAACAACAACAGGAACTAGCAATCCCTGGTCATTAAAATCCCTTAATATAAATGGACTCAATTCACCTATAAAAAGACACAGGCTAAGTGGTTGGATATGAAGACAGAATCCATCCTTTAGTGGCATTCAAGAAACACACCTCAACCTCAAAGACAGACATTACCTCAGAGTAAAGGGTTAAAAAAATTCTCCAATCAAACAGTCCTAAGAAACAAGCTGGTGTAGCTATCCTAATATCTAACAAAATAGACTTCAAACCAAAATCAATCAAAAGAGGTAAAGAAGATAATATCATATTCATCACAGGAAAATTCCAGCAAGAGGAAATCTCAATTCTGAACATCTATGCCCCAAACACAAGGGCACCCACATCTATAAAAGAAACATTACTAAAGCTTAAGTCATACGTCAAGCCCCCCAGACTAATAGTAGGAGATTTCAACACCCCACTCTCACCACTGGACAGATCAGCCAGACAGAAACTTTGTTGTGCCCAAGTTGCAAAGTCCCCAGAAACCACCAGGAAGACAAGACCCACTAAACTGTAAAGGCAAGGTTTTATGATTGTTCATCCACCCATGACAGGGGCCCCGTCTAGCAAGCTGACGCAGCAGCCCCCAGAGGGAGTGAAGTTCCCTGTCTACTGTTAGGTTTTATGGACAAAAGTTATAGGATTACATCAGTAGGTACAGGTTGGTTTCTGATTGGTTGACATTTGGGAACAATCAGGAGAATTTCTCAAAGTCATATTTTGGCATGAAATACTTGTGTTCCAATTATTCTCATTGGTCAGTGCTGAGAGGGAGCGTTCTGTGGTTTCTATGGCATTGTCTTGTTACTTGCAGGTGGCCTGTTGTACATAGATACCAATAGTTTTCAGAACTATATCCTGGAAACTATAGGGGAGGTTTTAGTCCCCTCTGGAGTATCTTTTGTGGCCAAACAGTTCCCAGGAACCAAGCATCTAGGAGCGTGTGTGTGTGTGTGGGGGGGGGTGTCTGGAGTTTCTTTGTGTTCAGTTTTGGCCCTAGACTCCGGGAGGCCAGAGGATCTGGAGTTTCCTTGTGTCAGAGGCCTACGTGTCTTTTCTGTAGCCTGTCATGGCTGCTAAAGCAGGGACTAAGTGAGGGTCTGATCCCTTTATTTCTAAATTATTAGAAGTGAAGCCTTTGAGTTTAGTTTACCCTTTCACTTAACAGAGAAATAAGGGAACTAACAGATGTTATGACTCAAATGAACTTAGCCGACATCTTCAGAACATTTCACCCAAACACAAAAGAATATATCTTCTTCTCAGCACTTCATGGAACCTTCTCAAAAACTGACCACACACTTGGTAACAAAGCAAACCTCAACTATAGACAGAGGTTTCTGTCCCACCCGTCCTGTAGCCTTTCAGTACCAAATAAACACACGGAGGCTTATATTCATTATAAACCATTCAGCCTATTGCTCAGGCTTATTACTAACAAACTCTTACAACTTAAAATTAACTCATAATTCTACTACAGTTAACCACGTGGCATGGACCTTTCCTCATCCCAGAGATGGTTCAACATACAAAAATCCATTACTGTAATCCCTCATATAGACAAACTGAAAGAAAAAAAAAACATATGATCATCTCATTAGATGCTGAAAAAGCCTTTGATAAAATCCAACATCCCTTCATGATGAAGGTTTGGAGAGATCAGGGATACAAGGAACATTTTTAAACACAATAAAGGCAATATACAGCAAGCCAACAGCCAACATCAAACTAAATAGAGAGAAACTGAAAATGATTCCATTAAAATCAGGAACAAGACAAGGCTGTCTACTCTCTCCACATCTATTCAATATTGTACTTGAAGTCCTAGCTAGAGCAACATGACAACAAAAGGAGATCAAGGGCATATAAAAGGGAAAGGAAAAAGTCAAACTTTTGCTATTTGCAGATGATATGGTAGTATATGTTACCCCAAAAATTCTACCAGAGAACTCCTACAGCTGATAAACACCTTCAGTAATGTAGCTCAATACAAGATTAATAACAACAACAATCAGTAGCCCTCCTATATACTAATGATAAATGGGTTGAGAAAGAAATCAGAGAAAAATCACCCTTCATGTCCCGACCCGCAGGACATTCAACGTGGGTCTGGTGGACACCTAGGAGAAAGATGGGGGACAGGGATACAGGAAAGGACGCCAAGACAGGATTCTGATCAAGGCGACAACTTTATTTCATCCCAAAGGGATTTATATAGGAGAAGTGAGGAGGGGAAGGGGGTAAGGTGTACTTGCAGCTGCAGGGGCAAGAGGCCAGTGGGAGAGGTGGTCTGCTGTGTTGCCTGGCTACCTAATCTACAGGGCAAGAAGTCAGGGATAGATCTTCTATGTTGCCTGGTAACCTGACAGCAGGGTCTGATCCTATCTGTTACAATTTACTACTGCTCAAGCCTGTCTCCTGAGGACCTTGGTTTTCCAACTAAGCTAAACTTTAACTGACAGGTAAACCGCAGGCTTGTTACTTGGAATTTGCTTTATGTTAGAAGGGGTGGCAGGGTGGTCTTAGTGTCACGTCTTCTCTATGAGTACGTGATACAGCCTAGCTGACTGATGGCTGGAGGTCCCTGACACAGTCAACAAGACAAAATGGCTCCCTACCAAACTGGAAAAGATCTTCACCAACCCATCTGACTGATCGCCAAAATATACAATGAACTAAAAAAACTAGACATCAAACTACCAAATAACCCAATTAAAAAATTGGGTAAGATCTAGCCGGGCGTTGGTGGTGCACGCCTTTAATCCCAGCACTCGGGAGGCAGAGGCAGGCGGATCTCTGTGAGTTCGAGGCCAGCCTGGTCTACAGAGCGAGGTCCAGGACAGCCTCCAAAGCCACAGAGAAACCCTGTCTCGAAAAACCAAAAAAAAAAAAAAAAAAAAAAGGGTAAGATCTAAACAGATAATTCTCAACAGAACAATCTCAAATGACAGAAAGACACTTAGTCAACATCCTTAGTTTTCAGGAAAATGCAAATCAAAACAACTCTGAGACACCATCTTACACCATCAGAATGGCTAAAATCAAAAACACTGATGACAGCTTATGCTGGAAAGGATGTGGAGTAAGAGGACACTCTTCCACTGCTGGTGAGAGTACAAACTTGTACAGCGCTATGGAAACCAGTATGTCAATTTCTTAGAAAATCAGGAATCAACCTACCTCAAGACTCTGCAATACCACTTTTGGGCATATACCCAAAGGGGATACACTCACACCACAAGGACGTTTGCTCAACTGCAGCATTATTTGTAATAGCCACATCTTGGAAACAACCTAGATGTCCTTCAACAGAAGAATGGATAATGTACCAATTGAGTACTACTCGACAGTAAGAAACAATGACATATTCCAATTTGCAAGCAAATGGACAGAACTAGAAAAAAACCATCCTGAATGAGGTAACCCAGACCCAGAAAGACACATATAGTATGTACTCACTCATAACTGAATACCAGACACAAAGCAAAGTATAACCAGCCTACAATCCACAACTCCAGAGAAGCTAGATCCATCTTCCAGAAACAATGGAATACCTAATCATTTGGCCAATCTCCTGGAGAACAATTGAAGTGAGGGAGGGGCAATATTATGAACAAAGGGGTCAAGACCACGATGGGGAAACCACAGAACCAGCTGCCCTGAGTTAGTAAGAGACCATTGACTCTGCACTGTCAACTTGGGAACTGTCATAGGACTGAACAAGGACCCCTGAATACAGGTGACAACGGTATGGCTTGGGCAGTGTATGAAGCCACTGGCAGTGGGACTAAGATTTAACTATAATGCATAAACTGATTTTGTGGAGCCCATTCTCCATGAATAGATACCATGCTCAGCCTGGACACTGAGGGTGGGCACTTTGGTCCTGCCTCAATGAGGTGGTGGGACAGACTTAGTTGACATCCTAGGGGAGGCCTTAGCTTCCCTGAGGAGCAGAGGACCAGAGGTGGGGGGGGGGGAGGAGAGACCGGAAGGAGAGGCAGGAGGGGGAATTGGAATGTAAAAAAGAAATGAAAGGAAGAAAGAAAGGAAGGAAGGAAGGAAGGAAGCAAGGAAGGAAGGAAGCAAGGAAGGAAGGAAGAAAGGGAGGGAGGACAAACAAGCACATGTCACCGTTGTCATGGCATCATGATTCTTAAAGATTCTCAGGGCAATTCCAGTAATGCAGAAGCTTTGCAGGCCAATGGCCTATCATAAAAAATACTTTCAGAGAAACACAGGAAATTCATAATTTAAATACAAGAAACAGGTTATACAGATGAGTGAGCACCTAACTGTAACTTAAAACATTTCCTTTTCAAATGATCATTCACCTTGAAACAGTGCCAAGCAACAACTCCAAAGCTGCAGTATTAGTATAAGAAATCATTTACAGTCCGAATGTTCAAGGCATGAACTCCCTACAAATCCAACTACTCATCCACCTAAAACAAAGTGGTCTTAGGTTAAAACCCTTACGTCAGGTATCCCTTCGTTTTGAAGAGTATTTTCTGTTATACTGAAACAGATAAAGGCAAAAAATGGCAAAACTGATGTCACAATCAATACCGGGAGGAACCACATTCGGTATAAATATCAGAGGCAAAACAAGGAGCTGTGATTTAAGGGCAGCAAACATTTTGCTGAGTGGAAAAAAACACCTCATAAAACATATACAGGATAACATAATGAACCTTTCAGTTTATATGCTCCTTCTGTATTTAATGTATGTATCAGCGTAAAATCAACGCAGTGCCGAAACCTTGCTTCCCTAGGATTACATTAATTTGGGTTTCACCCTCCCCCGCGCCGCCCCCTTTTGGGGTTTTGTTTTCTTGAAGCAGGGTCTCAAGCTGTAGCTCAGGCTGTCCTCAAACCCGAAGCGATCCTACTGCCTCCGGCTCCCAGAGGCGTAGCGGGAGGCGTTTTAAAACATTTCGGTTTATTCCATCCTGGACAAAACACTTTTGGAGTGGATCGTGTAGTATCACGCGTACGAAAATACGTACAGGCGAAGAGGAAGGTTTAAGTTACAAGAAAATGATTCTTCTACAAGGAAACTCTCCTTAGAGGCAGCTGGAGGGCCTTCTCTCCCCGTAAGCATGTTTCCATTTCGGCCAAGTGTACTCTCAGTCGCTCCAAGTAAAACCAATAGCCAAGGCAACCGATACGGCGTTTCCAACACAGCGTTTTACAGATCTTACCGCGGGGACAAACACCTGTCAAAACCGCCGAGAGCGAAGCTGCGGGCTCCGCGCTGACTTCACTGCAAGGAAAATGACAGCGTCTAGACAACCTCGTCGCCTTCCCAGGAGCAGGTCAGCGGATCCGAGAGAGACTTAATGCCCGTGACGACGCAGGATCGGGCCGGTAACCCTGGGATCCCGCCGAGCAGCAGCCCTCACCGCCTGAAGCTCCCCGCCGACAAGCCCCGACAGACTTCAGCACCCCGCGCAGCGAGGGACGGTTGACGCGCCTGCGCACCGCGGAACTTCCGCTCCCCCGCCCCGCCCAGCCGGGCACCGCCGGCTCCCTGAGCCGCCACTTCCGGGGGCGCATGCGCGGTGGCGGGTCCAGCGCGTGCGCAGCGCTGGGTTCTTCCCAGCTCCAGCCTCTGGTGCTCACGCTCCTCCTCTGGTTCCCCACCCCCAGCCCGCCGCGGCCTGGTATCAACGTGTGGTCCCGCCGGGGGAGCCGTGTGTGCCTCGTGCTCCCGGGACGGCGGTAGTGTTCCCGGCTGTAGCCATGGAGATGGAGCAAGTGAACGCGCTGTGCGAGGAGCTGGTGAAAGCGGTGACGGTCATGATGGACCCCAGCTCCACCCAGCGCTACCGGCTGGAAGCCCTCAAGGTAGCTGGGGTCCTGGCGCCCTGGGCCTGCCCCGAGACCCCTGTCCCAGGCTTCCCCCACGTCCTTTCCAAACTCAGTTTGTCGCCCGCTTGTGCGGCCCTTGGACCTCCCACTCCCGGTGGGGACAGTGGCTTCTGGTCGCGCGGCCCTCCTCACCTCTTCCTACTTGGGTCTTCTGCTTGCGCGCACTCGAGGATCCCTAACTGCTGCGCATTCCCTCGTCACGTCTCAGTGGCCTTTCTGCCCGCTCCTCACTTCTTTTCACTCTAGATAACACCACGATCTCCACCGCCTTAAGCTACGCTGGTTCTGACGCCCGGCAAGCCCCACATTGCCTGGCGTTCTGGGAGCGCACGTGCAAGTTCTGCCCCCATTCTTCCCAGCTGATCCATTCCAGACTTGTGCTGATTTCAGATCCCCGAGTATCCCTTTTCCTACATCCCTACATGCCTCTCATCCGAGTCTTGGGCTTCTCTGGCCAATTTGTAGCACCCCTCCCATGTTTATAGGTGTGAGATAGTCTTCAGCTATTTTTGCGCAAGGATGAGCTTTACCGCTCTCTTTGCATTTCACTTTGGTTTCCTGGAAGTAGTTTTCTCGAGTCCCTGGTGCTCTGCCCCCAGGTCTAGCGCAGGTTTTCTATTTGGGAACGCTAGTACCGGCAGCAGAACTTAGTCCCCATTAGAGTGAGCCGGTCATATGTTTTCTTTGTTTTTGTATTGTTAAGAGTTTTACATAGGCACAGAAATAGAATACTACAGTGATCCTGAGTAGGCCCATGACCAAAACCCAGACGATGCACAGATTGGCTTGTTTACTTCTCTTGTCACCTGTAGTTTTTAAAGCTAATTCTAGGAGTTGACATTTCACATCTATGGGTATATCTCTAACGTATTTTCCATTCTTTTAGGTCTACTTTTTAGTGTTAACATGTTTACTGTCAAAGTAGATATCATTAATACTAATCTAGATTTTGCAACTTAGAAATACAACCAAAACAACAGGCCTATAACCCCGGTTTCTCAGGAGACTAAGGCGGGAAATTCAAACGTTAAAGACCACCAGTCCAGGCAACTTAGAGAGACCCTTTGTCAAAAAGTAGCCAGATGGCTTAGAGGGTGAAGTGCTTGTTGTTGTGACTGGGTGCTATCATCCAGGCATAGCTGTGGAAGAGACTAGCAGATCCTTGAATTTGCTGGCCAGTCAGTCTAGTCAAATCATGAGTTCCAGGTTCTCAAAACAGCTGAGAGAGAAAGACATTCAGCTTCAGTCTCTGGTTTTCATTTCCTTGCCCAGCTACATACATATGCACATACATAAAGACACTGCATACATACACCAAAAAGAGAGAGACAGCTGGGGATATTGTTTAGTGGTACTGTGTTTGCCTAGCACATAAAATGTTCACTTCCCAGTAACTTGCACACAACCAGCTAAGGTTGGAATTTTCTTAGTGCTTTTAGTCTCCATTCTCTCATGTTTCCCCATTGAAATACTAACTTTTCTTCTTTACAGTTTTGTGAAGAGTTTAAAGAAAAGTGCCCAATCTGTGTCCCGTGTGGCTTGAGGCTGGCTGAAATCACACAGGTGGCCGTTGTCAGACATTTCGGCCTTCAGATCCTGGAACATGTTGTCAAGTAAGGAGCTCTTGGCCACTGCAGTCTGCTGAAGAGAGCAACTCTATAACCCTTTCATGACCTACACAGGTGCTTTTCCAGTGACAGGAGAGAACAGGACTCAGGATTCTTACTTTTTATCCAGTTAAGTCATCTAAGTAAAGTGTGTTGCACATGCTAAGCTTTCCACAAGCCCAGCATGGTGGCCTACATTTGCAATGCTGACAGCACTGAGAAACTGAGGCAGGAAGACTGTGACAATTCAGGCTTACGTGGGTTACATAGTTTCAGGGTCATGGGCTACAGAGTGAAACTTTGTATCAAGAAAACAAATTTTAAACTTTTTTGTTTTTGAAAAACATTAATATTGTAGATGGCTAGATGGATATTTGCTTTTGGGGTATGAACAAAATCAAGGAGAAAAGCTGATATGTGACATAAATCCTGTGTAAATGCTAATTAATGCACAAAAGCTTCTCAAAATTTTTTTCTGTTGTTAATGTTCTGTTTTTTTCCATCCATTCTTTGATGAGAACAGAATCAAAAGTAAAAGTTTTAAATAGATCAACTTATTTATTTGGTGTGTATAAGTGTTTTGCCTGGTGCCCAGAGAGGCCAGAAGAGGGTCCTGCAGCCCTGGAACTGGAGTTACAGATGGTGGTGAGCTGCCATGTGGGTGCTGGCACCCAACCTCAGATCCTTTGCAAGAGTACCAAGTACTCTTCACCATTGAGCCATCTTTCCAGCACCAAGGATTTTTTAAGATTTTACTATTTTTTTAATTAATGTGTACTTGTGTGAGTGTGTGCTTGTGAATGCAGATACAGAGACATGATTGTTATGAAGCTTACAGGTGTTTGTATGCTGCCCAGCATGCTTGTTGGGAACTAAACTCAGATCTTCTTAACCACTGAGATGCCTCTCTAGCCTCAAAAATGTGTGTTTTTGTTTTTTGGGTTTTTGTTATTGTTTTTAAAGACAGAGTCTCTCTATGAAGCCTTGGCTATTCTGGCCAAAAGTATAATTTTGTTTCTATTTTTAGATTTTTCCAAACAGGGTTTCTCTATGTAACAGTTCTGGCTGGTCTTGAACTCAGAGATCTGCCTGCCTCTGCCTCCCCAGTGCTAAGATTAAAGGCATGTGCTACCACAGTCCAGCTTTGTTTTTGTTTTTTTGTTTCTCCAGACAGGTTTCTTTTTGTAACAGCTCTGGTTGTCCTGGAACTTTCTCTGTAGACCAGGTTGGCCTCAAACTCAGAAATCCATCTGCCTCTGCTTCCTGAGTGCTGGGACTAAATGCGTGCACCACCACTGCCCAGCAAGTATAATTTCTTAATGAAACTTCTAAAGAACTGTAAAGCAGGAAACATATTCTCTTATGAAGAAAAGACTTGTGACTTGGTTTTGTTGGTTTTTTCGGTGGTCAGGTTTCGATGGAACAGCATGTCTCGATTGGAGAAGGTTTACCTGAAGAACAGTGTCATGGAGCTGATTGCAAATGTGAGCAAAGGGTTATTGGGAGGCATGGCTTGCACAGAGGTCAGACAGTATGACATAGACTGGACCAGAGAAAATTAGATTCTTAGCAAATGAGCGAACACAGTCCCAGACACACCCTTTATCCCAGCACTTGGGAGGCAGAAGTGGGTCAATCTCTGAGTTCAAGGCCAGGCTGATATACATAGTAAGTGCCAAGAGAGTAAAAACTGCATAGAGACCCTGTCTCAAAATAGATAAGTTTGTTAGATATAAATTAGATGATTGCAACGCCATTCACTTTGAATCTTTTTTCCTTTTTTAAAAATTTATTTAATTTTATGTGCATTGGCATGAGGGTGTCACATCCCATGGAGCTGGAGTTACAGAAGCTGTAACATCAGTGTCGGGAATTGAACCCAGGTCTTTTGAACCATCTCTGCAGTCCCCTTTTTCCTTTTTTTCTAAGCTCAGCTACTCTGATACATGTGATGAAAATTATATAGAGTGGATTTGTTTCACTTATTACAAAGGCATCAAACATGCTATAAACTGATGACTTTTTTATTTATTTAGTCAGTCTCACTATGTAGTTCTGAATGGTCTCAAATGATCCTCCTTCCCCTGCCTCCTGCGTGCTGGGATTCAATGTGTACTCCACCATGACTGGCCAGCCTTTCCTTATTTGAGCTAGGACTTCATTCCTTATTCCACTTCAGTCCTGCATGCTGGGACTGCAGGCATCAACCACCGGGCCTATCTTTTTTTTTTTCTTGAAAAGGGGAATACCTACATATTTAGTGTTTTTTGAGACAGGTTCTCATGAGGCCCAGGATAGCTTCAATCTTGCTATGTAGCTGAGAATAAACTTGAATTTCTGACTCTCCTATGTACTGGAATTGCAGGCAAGCACTAGCAGCTGGTCTTGTATTACTGTTAATAGGAAAAGGTGCTTTGCAAAATTATGATTACTTTAGCTAATTAAGACTTGTAGTTTATTAGTCCAACAGAGAGTAGCAATGATGAATCATCCATTTTAAAGCTTAAATTCTTGGGAGACATTGATAGTTATCTTTTAATATTAGAACTACTGGTACCCTCGTTCTCCTCGATGTCCTTCTGGTCTATCAGTTTCCCAACGCATGCCTTATATCTGTATTCCACTGTGGTCTCCAAAAACACAAAGCAATATGAAAGCCTCTTCAGTTTGTGTTTTCCTGGCTCTGTCACACCCAGTTATTAGCTGTTGAAACCTTCATTTATGTTTTAAGTGGGAACAAATGATCAATGAGAATGCAGGACAAGTGACTCATACATGGAAAACAGGTTTAGGTTTAAAGGAGACCTTGATTAGTGTTGTACTTAAGAAAGTTTTTCAGGGACGTTTATTTATTTGGAGGGTTGGGTGTGGTGTGAGTCCTGTGTCATGTGTTGAGAGGTCAGAGGACAGCTTGATGGATTCAGTTCTCTCCTTTCGCCATATGGGCTCTGGGATGGACCTGAGGTTGCCAGCCTTGGAGACAACCAGC